AAAGCGGTGGGGAGGGGCCCGAGCCGTGAGACTCAGCACACGGTCATCCGAACACACAGCGACGGGAGAGCTGAGCTGCAGGACACCGAGCTGGCGCCGGAGAGCCACCTGATGGTGTGGGGACCGACACGCGCGGCATTGAAACGGGCATCGGAAGCTCCCACGAGCAGTTGCACGAGGGCCGTGTGGCCGCGCAGCCATCAGCACCGACGCCTCTGCACACGCGGCCGCCTGGTGGAGGACAGCATGGCGCGCGGACTCAAGAGACTCAAGGGACGGCGGACGCTGCTCCCTCCCTCTCCCTCCCTCTCCCTCCCTCTCTTCCTTTCACTCTTAGTTCCCGTTTATTTATTTCTGGAGTTTATTTATTTCTGGGCAGGAGTACCGGAAACTCCCATACGCGCCCCGCCGCCCCTCACAGCTCCCCCACACTGACACCCGCAGAGTGACATGTTGGTCACGACCCAGGCACCAGGGCCGACACAGCACCGTCACCGCACGTCCCCCGCCCACGCCGGGGTCTGAGCGCTCTCGGCGTCGCTCAGCCCGCGGGTTTGGACGAACGTGTGCTGGCGGTGCCTGTCACGTCACGCTGCCCTCCCCGCTGTCATCCGCGCCCCCCACCGTCTCCACAGTGCTGGCCCGGCGTCTGCGGCCTCGGGCGCCTTCCCTCCTCCGCATCGGGGCCTCCAGGCCCCTGCGCGTCCTGGCAGCGTGTCCATGCTGTGCACAGGCGCGGGCTCCCCCCGCACGGCCCCACAGAAAGCGCTTCACGGCGACGCCCCGTTCTCCGCACAGATGGCGTCGGGTACCGGAGGCTGAGCCGCGCCAGCCGAATCTTCTGAACGTCAAGTCACCCCGCCAGCCCGCAGGCCGCGGGCGCAGCTCACGAGTGCCCACGGGCACCTGGCCCCGTCCCTCCAGGACGGCCCGCGGCTTCCCCGCCCCGTCCTCGCTCACGCCTGCGGGCTGGACTTGGGGTCTGCCACCAGCCGAACTGACCCCATCACTGACCTGTGAGCCCCCGATACGCGCTGGAAAATGGAGACCGAAACGTGCAGGAAAATGACCCCAATATGCAAATGCTACGGACAGCAAAACGTGGGGGTAGCACAGAGCCGCACGGTCACTAACTCTCAAGCTGGCATCGACCCTGGCGGCGGGGGGCGGGGCGCGGGGCGCAGGGCTCGTTCATTCGGTTACGGCCGAGGTAACCAATCCCAGGGGCTGGGAGACACGTGGACGACAAGCGCGTCTCCCTCCCAGTCCCGAAGCTGCAAGTCCAAGGCCAGGCTGCAGCGTCTGACTTCCCACTGTAGGAAGGAGGGGGCGTCCCCAGGCCTCTCCCCCGAGGGCGCGAACCTCATGACCACCACGGAGCCCCCAGGACCACCACGGAGCTGGGGCTCTGTTCTCAGCTCCAGCAACAAAGCTCTCGCCGGCAGAGCGCGGCCGCCCCTCCCGCTGGGAAGCACGTGCAGCACCAGCGTCCCCACGCGCGCCCTGGAGAGACACCGCCCAGCCAGGAGTCTCCTGTCCCCAGAGGAACTCCACTCGTCACGTTCGACCTGGGAACACACGCCAAACTAACGAAACGTTTGCTTCGCGTCGTTTTTAACCTGCGTGGTCTCTGCGTTTCTAGCACGCTCCAGGGCTGTCGAGATTCGCCTCTCCACTCAGTTTCCCTTCAAGAAAAATTCACTGCAGAACAGGCGAGGTGGTGCCATGGTGACAGCGCCCCACGTCTCCACGGTTCACACACAAAGGCCCCTGCTGGCGGCCTTCGCTCACGTCACGTGCCCTCCCAGCTCTGTGGGGCTCTGTTCTCAGCTGTCACCGTCCCTGCACCGGGACGTGGGCTGATGGAACGGCCACCGCCTGGGACACCAGCGGCGACGGCGGGAAGAATGCGAAGACTCCTGGCTCCCGAAGCTTCCGCCTGGAAGTGACGCTCAGCCTTCTGCTCGCGGTTCCCGAGCTAGGTGAGTCACGTGGACGGGCTGAAGCCCCGAGGGGCCTGGGTGCTGGAGCACGGCGGCACAGGGCCCACCACGCGCTGCCATGCAGTCTGTGCTGTGCCGTGCACTGCGGCCACAGCTGCGCAGCTCCCGCCAGCCTTGGGTTCCCTCCAGCGGTTTACAGTCCCGGAGAAACACCAGCAGCACAGCCCTACGCCAAGGGGCCCCGACATCCTGGTGGGTGGGCAGAATCAGCAGAGGGATGCCACCATGGCAAGTGTCCCAGCCCAGGGAGCTTCGCTGTCCCCACGGGACACCCCCTGCCCCCAGGCACCAGAGAGCCCAACCTGGGGAACCTGCTCACGCCCGTGGGCAGCACCCAGAGGGAGCGGGAGCCCCAACACCGCAGACAAACCAAGGCTGGCACCCTGAAATGTGACCGACCGGGCACCGCAGCCTGGAGGAGTAAGCCAGGGCCTGAGGACTAAGCCCAGACAGGGTGGTGACCGCCTGCTGAAGCCGAAGATAAAATAGGACCCGAGTCCCCAACGCGATAGACAGAAAACTCATCTGCCATGCCAAGGACCGAGGACATCACCACCCGAATGAGACGACACAACCGACCGACGTTAACTCTGGGGAGAGGAGATATCGGACTTATTATCCGGGAAGGATTTTAACACCGCTGCTGTAAAAATGTTTCCACAACCGACAGCAGATCCTCTTAAAACAAATAACGACAGAATCTCAGCAAAGTAGTAGACATTACAAAACACAAAAACAAATGGGAGTTAGAAAACTGAAAAACACGATAGATTTTTTTTTAACTCACTGCATAGGTTCAATAGCAGAACGGCCATGACAGAGGATTGGTCCACTAAGCATCAGGGACTGAGGAGTATTTGAAAAAGTGCCTGGGAAACTCCCCTCATCTGGTGACACACACGGGCCTGCAGATTCAAGAAGCCGAGTGGAACCCACACAGGATAAACCAAAAGAAGTCTCTGCCGGGGACAAAGGGGAACCCTCGGAAGAAGCTAGAGGAACGACACGTTGCCTGCAGGGGAGACTCGGAGGACGGCGGTTCTCTTGTCTGAATCGATGGCAGCGGGACACGGCGGCCGCACGCTTGTCCCGTGTGGAAGGGAAAAGCTCGATCACAAAGTTAGGTCGGGAAGCACTGTCCCTCAGGAACGAAAGGGACAGTAAGACATTCTCAGATGACAAACACAGAGGAAGTGGTGGCTCGCAGCCCTGCCCTTCGAAACTGGCTGAAGTCGCTTGTCCAAGAGAGAGGACCCGACGCAGCAGGGAGCCTCGCGCATCAGAAAGGGGGGGACAAGAGAAACACGGAGCCGGGGCACGCGCGGCCGAGCGCCCTCCGCCGCGGGGCTCTGCAGACCACGTTCTCACATCCTCACTCACGTCCGCTCATCGAAGCCAAAACGTTCCCACCGCCTGACGCTCCAGCCAGCGACACCGAAGAGAGGAGAAAGCAGAGGTCGGGGGGGCGGGGTGTGAACCCCACACTGACAAGGAGTCACATGCCGACGCCAGCAGACAACTGCGTGCTGAGTCCCTTTCACGCTGTGACGCCCAAAGTAACCGCTAAAACGTTTTTTCAAAAAATGTACTCAAAAACACTATAAGTATGTCAACGTGAAATAAAAAAAAAAATTGTTCAAGTAACCGACGGAAGGCAAGAAAAGAGACACAGAGCAAACGGAAAAGTGTAAAAGGCGGACTCAAGCGCCAACGCACGTTCCCCTTCGACACAAAGACTTTAAACACAGCACTCGAAAGACAGAGCTCGGCAGACGAAGCGGCCTGAGGCCCTCACGCTTTCTCCCGAAGAGACTCACCGCAGACGCCACGACACCGGGAGCCTGAACGGGTGACGGTCCCACTCGCCGGCTCAGCCCGGCCGTGGACACGGCCTGGCAATCAACAAACAAATGAGGGCGGACACGATGACCTGCACGGAGCACCAGAGAACTACGCCGAGTGACAGAGCCAGTACCGCGTGTCGTCTGTGGCACGACGTCACTGACTGAATTCTGGGAACGGAGAACAGAGGTTGCGGTGGTTGCGGGTGAGGCGGGGAGGGGCGGGGGGGGCGG